CCCGCACACTGGGCTCCCCCCGCAGGCTCAGGCTGCCACCCCGCTGCACGTTTCTGTTTGAAATGGCAGGTTAGCTTGGCTTCTTTTTAACCTCTGTTAACCTCTCCTCCTGTGATAGAGGTTAATGTGAATTTAGGCTTTCTTGCTTAAGCTTTTCTAAGCTATGCTGCCAGAATGTAGTCATAATTTTAAAATACTGTTTTCTGCTCCTCAGATCAGGCAATTGCTGTGTTGTCAGGTATATTATAGCTCAGCTCGTAGGATTTTACAGATTTCCACAGGAAATCTTGATCTGATTTTCTTAAAGCAATATGAGAGTGAGAGTGTTTATAATGTTTTGTTTATAGTGCTGTTAATTTTAACAGGATGTCATGTGAACGAGCCTTGCAAAAGTCTTTGTATAATTGTAATGCTATTCTTTAGGCATACTCAATCATACAGCTTATGTAAACAGTAAAGAAAATCGAAAATATATTTTCCTATGGCCACTGTATACACAGCAGCCTAGAATTGCATTTGGATAATGTACTACTCTTTAGCAGTGATAGTTTGAAAATTCTGAAGTTTATTGTGTGCAAGTCTTAGTTCTGTGCTCCATCCATAAACATATTCCCTCCTCAAGCAAGCTGCAAACTCTACCATTTTGCAGAGCTCTCATGGGAAGCTAGCTTCAGCATCTAGCAGCTTCTTTATATATATTCAATACTGGTAAAAAACAAATCTGCTTCTGATACCAGGCTGCTGCTGCCCAGCCAAGGCTGCTGTGGGGGAGATGAGCTGTGCTGGTACTCAGGGCCCAGAGAGGGGACACCAGGAGCTCCAAGGAGTGCAGCATCCATGACCCACTAAATGAGTTTGTACTAGTGACTGAGTGCATGCTGTATCTAAGCAAATATTTAGGTGAGCTTTAAGTGACCAAACCGTCTTTGACTGAGAAAGCTTTATTGAAGTGTCCTGGAAGCGATTGCATTCACTTGCACAGCCCAGGGGAGCAAACCCAGGTGGAAAGCCGAGTCCCTGTGATGCTGGGCTGTCTGTGACATCTCCACGTGTGTGTTACCTGTGTCTGGCTGTGCTGGCACACACAGCTGTGTACTCTGCTTTCTGGAATCTCTGGTTGCAGGTGATGACTGGGCACAATTTGTTTTGTAGTCAGAAATTTGCTTCAGGCAGAAGCAGGTTGTTCTCTCTTGTGAAAGCCGAAGTTGGGAAACACCAGGGAAATGTGAAGGAAATGCTGGGGCCTCACCATTCTTGCCAGTGTCAACTTCTCCTTTTTTACTTTATTGAAAATTACTCGGTTTAAGAAAGATATAAAGTATTCTGGAAATGAATTTGGCAGTCTACAAAGGGTGTTCAGGCTGGGGCAGTGTTTCGTGGATCTCCTGCATCAGTGGCTC